AGTGCTTATCCTACAGTGCTACACCATGCCTGTTAGTGTCAGTTAGCAGTCCAGTGCTTATCCTACAGTGCTACACCATGCCTCTGTTAGGTGTCTTCGAGTTAATTCCAACTGATTTTTTACAAGATTTCCAAGGAGCGACTGCTGGGTTTGAACCACCAACCTTGCAGTTAGCAGTCCAATGCCTATTCTACAGCGCCACACGAGGACTCCAGGTACATAGACATGTGCCTGGGGGCGGGGAGGGGGCAGTGATTCTGGGGCTCCTTTCTATTGATCCCCAAAGCTCTAATTTACTTGGCTTCATTTAAAAAAGAAGAAGTTGCCATTGAGTCATTTCTGACTCGGGTGACCCCAAGTGTACAAAGTAGAACTGTCCTCCCTAGGGTCTTCAAGGCTCTGATCTTTCAGAAACTTACCAACAGGCCTTTCTTCAGAAGGCTTGTGGGTGGAGTCCAACCTCCCACCTTTCATTTAACGGTTGTGACCTTACTTGCTAATGCCACCCAGGGACACCATTGACTTCATAACCTGTAACAATTTCTTCCAGACCCCTTATCTTTAAGGTTGTTGTCTGCCCCTTTGGGATTAGGTTCTCACCTCTGGGTGTCTGGAAATACCAGCTACGGGCAAAGGGAAAGCCTTGTATTGTGACCAATTGTAAATGTGTGTGCCTCGCCCCAACTGGGGTCTGAGCCCCTTGAAGACAGGATCTCACTGAGTTGTCTGGAAATCACAGTGCCGAATCCAGGCACAATTGATATTTGTTGACTGATTGAACTCGTAGGTGTTTCAACAATTGTTTGAGATTTCCTCCTGACTCTTGTTGGGCAGTGAGTATTGCAAAGGAGAGGGAGAATGTCAATGAGGAAATATGAATTGTGAATATTTGCAAGGGTTCACGAAGAGACAACTCATTTCTATTTTTATGAATTCTTTTCTTTTTTTTTTTTTTTTGCCACCGCCAGGACAAGAAAGCTTTCTGCTCGTCCATGAGTCTGTGCATCCACGCCTCAACCCAACCTACAGGTGGTGGTGGTAGTGACGTCAGTGAGTGATTTTGGAGACCAGTCACTTGGAGCTTGATGGCCGGCATGTCTCAGCCGCCGCCCAGCATGTACTGGTGTGTGGGACCGGAGGGGTCAGCCGTGTGTCCCGAGAGTACCATGGAGACCCAAAACGGTAAGGGCAGGGCTGGCCATGCCTGCCTGGACACAGTCCTGCTTGTCCTTTGTAGAAACAAGGGATTTCCAACCAAGGCTTTTTATCAGAAAACATAATTCAGTGTTCTTACTGAAGTTCTCAAAATTGAGGGGCCATACTATAAAGTTTATTGAGGACTTAAAGATCTTAAGAATCAGGGTATCACTGGTTAAAAGGTGTTTTTTTGTTTTGTTTTCATGTGGATTTCGTTTTGGTTTCTTGCTATAGGAACAACACGTTTATTAAACAAAATTAGAAAAAAAAAGGAAGTAGGAAAGAAATCATCCAGACGCAAGCACAGTTAGCATTTGGTTCTTTCTGAATGTGCTTTTCTGAGTTTCAGGGGTTTTGTTTTGGCTTTATTGTATTTACACAGTGTGTTCGGTTGCATAGTTCTCTTTTTCCTCTTAACTTTTTATCAGCAGCATTTGCCCAGGGCACCACCTTGCTCAGGGGTACGGTGGAACACCGTTTTATAGGGGCCACTATGTAAAATTTCTGATCGAATCCTCACTTCCTATAGGTGTTACTTGTTTGTCTTCATTGTGGCTGAAAGCATTTCGTTCCCATCTTCTTGCACATACTGTTGGTTTTTTCCAGAAGGTGGCTATACAGAAGTGGAATTGTTGGGTCTGAACATTTTTAAACCTTGACATATGTTGCCAGATTTTCCGCTAGAGTTGCGTCACTTTTAAAAAATTGTGGTGAAAATGCATACCAAAACATAAGCCGTCTCAACGGTCTCTGTCTGTACAATTCAGTGGTATTTTTACATTACTCAGGAGTTCTGGCGTGGTGTTGTAGGATAAGCACTGGACTGGTAACTGCAGGTTGGCGGTTCAAGCCCACCAGCTGCTCCTCGGAAACCCCATACAGGGGAACTGACTCGCTGACTTTTACCACCACCACCACCACCATCACGTCTTAATGGTCCATTTGGGGCTTGCTGGCTGGGACTGTGTTGTCTAGAAATGGTCCACAGGTGCTGCCCCCCCCTTCCTGTTCTGGGTGGTGGAGGCGTGGACTTGTTGTAAAGCTCCACCCAACATTCTGATGTGCTGCTGGAGTGGAAAATCAACTGAGCTCAAGGGTTTGGCCGCTCCCAAAGTAGCATTTACCAAACTAAGTCAGGCACAGGAATCCTGGGATGATTTGGAAATACAGAGTCTCACTCAGCAGGTCTGGGGGGCCACAGAGAGGCTCTGCCAGCCACACTGAATATCAAGGCTAAGTGATGGCTTTGCTGGGGTCCTTGGCTGATTTCTTTAGGGCACAGCCAGAGTCAGCCTCACTTCCCTACTGCCAGCAGGACAGATCACCAGAAACTGTTAATGTGTGACATTAATGTGCGACCCCTTAAGGTCTGTCTGTTGGCTGCTGTTGGCAATTCCTTCTCTTCTAATGGTGATAGAGCCAGACCCAGAAGGCTCTCAGGTCATTCCACCATCCCTGTCTAAGTCACCCAGAATGCTCAGAAGCGAAGGTTATTATGCCCATCCCCCTGCTCTGGTGTAGGGCGGTGGTTTGTGAGGACAGGGGAGGCATGGCCTGTGAGCCCCTGACCACAAGAGACCAAACACAAGCCACGGAGTGGGAGAAAATGAGAGGCAATGTTCTCATAAGAAACCCTGTGGAGAAGGTACTGATTTCACTGATGCTGTGAGAGTTTTAAAATTACGCAGGTGGTAGGAACTGAGGAGCTGGGCCTGGGGGGCTGGCCGTGGGACCTCCTGATTGAACCAGGTGCTCCTGGGGTGGCCAGGTGCTGGCCCCTTTAGGCTGCTTACAGCCACTCTTACCCCCCTGGCAGGGCAGTACAGGCAGGGCCGAGGAGGACCACTCCCACTTGCCTGTGGCTCCCCCCCACCCCTAGGCCCTGGGAACGCACACTCCATTGCACTCAGCTCACTGAAGGAGCTCCTTAAGTGAATGTCCAGCAGAGTGGTGAACACTTCAGGCTACTGCCTTGTTTCAAACCAAACCCCATGACTAGTGTATGGCCATGTTCCCTGTCAGAGGATGGAGGGGAATGGGGAGAAGCTTCTGGTGCTCGTATACTGTAGTGGGGACTCAAAAACCTGTCTCCAAGGTTACTCAGACATGCATTCAGTTCTTAGTGCTGGGTGACCTCCCCGAGCTCTAATTCAGACAAACACAAAATTTCCATGAACTACGCCAATCAATGGCATGCTGCCGTGTGCAGATCTAACCCATGTGACTCCTATCCTTCTAGGACAAACAGGCGAGCTCCCTGGGTGGGGCAGAGGCACTAGTGGGAACATTGGAAACTTGTGATGCCTCTTAAGGCTCAGGTTCAGAATGTTGCCTCTGCCAGGTTGCCACTGGTCAAAGCGATCACATGGCCAAACCAAAGTCAAGGGATTACTCCCTCCACAGGGGTGCCAACTTCTGGACTGTGACTAGGGGTGGGGACAGTTGTGGAATTGGTGTTGGTCATGCAACCTACAATGCAATGTGATGGTAGTTTCAATCCTTTCCAAAAACTGATCTTGTTGATCTATGTAGTGTATTAGATTCATTTGTTTGTGTATATAAACAACCAGCAAAACCCTTTTCTAACATCAAACCTTGCCTGGAACCCCAATCTATGTAACAGATAGCATTGAAGTGGCTTTTATGGGGATGTTGTTGTTGGTGGTGGTGGTGGTGGTTGTTATGTGACATGGAGTTGGTACCGACTCATAGCGACCCTGTACAGGATTTCCGAGGCTGCAAATCTTTACGGGAGCAGAAAGCCTCATCTTTCTCCTGCGGAACACCTGGTAGTTTCGAACTGCTGACCTTGTGGTTCTCAGCCCAATTCGTAACCACTATGCTACCAGAGCTCCTTGTTGTTGCTGGTAGATACTGTTAAGTCTGTTCTCACTCATAACGACTCTATGAACAACAGAAGGAAATGCTGCCCCATCCTGTGCCACAATTGTGGTGTTTGAGCTCATTGTTGGTGCACTGTGTCGATCCATCTTGTTGGGGGTCTTCCTCTTTTTCACTGACCCTCTACTTTACCAAGCGTCATGTCCTTCTTCAGGGACTGGTGCCTCTTGATAATGTGTCCCAAGTATGAGAAATGAAGTCTCAAAATTCTTACTTCTAAGGAACATTCGGACTGTACTTCTTTGAAGACGGATTTGTTTGTCCTTCTGGTAGTCCATGGTACTTTGAATTTTCATCACCATAACCATTCTTCTCCAGTCTTCCTTATTTATTGTCCATCTTTCACATGTGTATGTTGTTGTTGTTGTTATGTGTCATCGAGTCGGTTCCGACCCATAGCCACCCTGTATAGGGTTTCCGAGGGTGTAAATCTTTACGGGAGTAGAAAGCCTCATCTTTCTCCCATGGAGCAGCTGGTAGTTTCGAACCGCTGACCTTAAGGTTCACAGCCTGATTCGTAACCACTACGCTACCAGAGCTGCCTATGAGGTGATTGAAAATACCATGAGCTATATCAGGCACTCCTTAATGCTCAAACTGACATCTTTGCTCTTGAACACTTTTAAAAAAGTCTTGTGCGGCAGATTTGCCTAATGCAATGTATCATATGATTTAAAGCAACAACTTTTTATTATGAATTGAGTGACGGTTTACAAAGCAGATGATCAATTTTACATTAATCAAATCATATTCTTTGCTTCATTACAATGATTTTAATCCCCTCCATGTACCAAGAGTTAACAGTATTTACTTCTAATCACTTTAACCATTGCATTCCTCCCTCTCTCTCCAGCCACCTTCATCTTTCCTCTGCTGTACTCCCTCTTGTTTCATATTGCATGCCCTGTCACCCATGTGTCTATCCTCTAGCCCGTGAATAACTTTTCCTCGCACCTCCCTTCAGTAACTATCATAGATTGCTTCTGTTATTAAGAAAACCATTTCTTAAATTTTTACGTCATTGGTCTCATACAATATTTGTCCTTTTGTAATTGACCAAATTCACTCAGCAGAATGTCCTCCAGGTTCATCCATGTTGTGAGGTGTTTGGCAAATTCATTGTTAATCTTCAGTGTTGCATAGTATTCCGGTGTGGGTACATAACAAAGTTTGTTTACCCGTTCTTTTGGTGATGTGCATTTAGGCTGTATCTATCTTTTTGATGTGTCTCTTATAGACAGCATATTGAAGGGGCTTGTTTTATTCTACCCTCTCTGTCATTCAGCTGGGGTATATAATCCATTTACATTTAGTATAACTATCCATATGTATGAATTGATGGATGTCATTTTGCTGGGTGTTTTTCTTTTGTTTTGCTTGTGGTACTGTTGGTTTCTTTGTTCCACAGAATTTTCTATGCTGAGTTCATATTGTTTGTGGGTTTTCTTTCATTTTCATTTCTGTGTGTTAATGTCTACCAAATCTTTTGGATTTTCCTCTTTTTTAGTTTTGATGTATAGGCATGTTAATTTTCTTTGAAGTTACCCTATAATTTATTATTTTTCCCCAAATTAAAGCATCTGTTTTATCATGATATCTAGTTCACTTCCTCACCATTTGGAAGGTCTATATCGACACTATTTCCTCTTTTTACTTTGTAGGTGATTTCATTACACATTGATATTTCTGGTTCCCTATTTTCAGTCTTGTAGATTTGTTTTTCTTTAAATACTTCTCTATCTGGAGACTGATTGGAAGAGATCCGTATTTGTGCCCATTCCAAAGAGAGGTGACCCAACGGAATGCAGAAAT